TTGTATTATATACTTGAAGCTAATATATTATACGTCAGTTGTACTTCAATTAAAAAGCAACCTAAGAAATTACTTCACATCTACTGGGATGGTGATCATCAGAGAGATAGGTAATAACAAGTGTGGGTGAGAAGCTGGACCCCTCACACATTGTTGCTGGAAATGCAAAACGGCACAACTCCTTTAGAATACAGTCTTGGCAGTTCTGCAGGTATTAAGCAGTGTTACCACGTGACCCAACGATTCCACCCCAGGTTATGTACCCAAGAGAAATGAAAACATACATCCACATAAAAACTTATAGATGAATGTTTCATAAGAGCCAAAAAGTGGAAGAATCATTAACTGATAAGTGGATAAACAAAAATTGGCAAATTTATATCATGGAATACTATTCAGTGATAAAAAGGAACAAAATACTGATATATATTCCAACGTGGATGAGCCATGGCTACATTATGTTGAGTGGAAGAAGTTAGGCACAAAAGGCCATATATGACATGATTTTATTTATAGGAAGTGTGCAAAATAGGCAAATCTCTAGAAACAGAAAATTGATTAGTGGGTGGTATCACTGGGTGTGAGTGGGAATGAAGAGTGACTGCTAATTCGATGTAAGATTTCTTTTCTAAGAATTAAAATATTCTAAAATTAGGTTAGACGGTTATCCAATTCTGGGAACATAAAACCATTGAATTATACACTTTAAATGGATGAATTTTATTGTATTGTGAAGTTTATCTCAAAAAAGAGGTTTTTCAAATGGCAAATTTAATGTTTCAACCTAACCTACTACATTAATTGGGCTCTTATTTCAGGAAGTATTGTGGGAATTTAACAGGAATTCATTTAATCCTTGAAATATCCAAAAAAGGTTTACCCATTTTGCTGGTGAGTGAACTGAGGCTCTGATAAGGTAAATAATTTTCCTACGGTCACAGCAAATAAACAGCAGAGCCAGCATTTTAACCCAAAGCCCATCTGGCTTCAGAGCCTGAGCACTAACTCCCCAACCCTTCCAGCCTCCCTCCTCCCCTGCCAGCGTACAGCTGTCTCTGCCCAGTAGTCACTTCTGGAGGGTTTACAAGCATAGGGCTTGGGGGCTAGAGACACAAATTTGAAAGACTTGGTGACTGCCCACAGGACAGTCACAGCCTGGGAGGAGGCAGACAGAATTACAGGCAATGGTTAAGATGCTGTGTAGTAAGTGCTCAGTGACAAAGACAGGCATCTGCTCGCGGTGCTTTGGGAACACCAGGGTAATGAGCATCTTCCGCGTCGCCTTCTGCGGACACGTGAAAGACTCTGAATTGGGAGGGCTACCCCAAAACCTGTTCCTTTCCTACTTATTGCCAACTCACCTCATCTCCTTGGTCGCTCAGACTTCCCAGGAATCTAGACTCAGCCTCTTCCCCATACTTGATCGTTTCTACCCATTGGACTTCTGGGTTACATTTTAAACCTGTCTAGTCCACCCCAGGGCCTCCCCCTGGGGCAGGCTACTATCACATCTCACCTGGACTATTGCAAAGGCCCTTTCCTTGTCTCCTTGCTCCTATGCCTATCTCTCCACAAAACATTCTGCACACACCAACTGAGGAGTTCCATAGAGTGAGCTGGGAACAGGCGAATGGCCGTGCAGGGGTGAGTGGGAATCAGTCTGGGGGGAATCTGAATGAGAGGTGATGTGAATAGCGTGGGGATTCTCACGTGTGGGACACGTCTAGGGTGGAGTGTCTGTGTGAATGGACACACCAAGGGGGGCTGGAAGGCCTGGGTTACTTGTGCCTTTAGGATGTGTTTGGGTACAAGTCACTGTGACTGCATCGACACATCGAGTGAAAAAGCCCATGAAAGAAGAGCTTCACCCTGTGTGATCAGCCTCCATTAAAACCCATCCTCACCCCTGTGGACTGTAGCAGATAGCAGCGTGCTAAGTGGGATGCAGGGGAGGAAGTGAACAGAAATATCTCCCGGTCCTTTGCCTAAAGGATCCTAAGGCTGCGGAGGATGGGGTCATCTCTACAGACTGCCACCAAGACTGTCACTCACTAGGGGACAGAAAGCTGAAGGGATCCCAGGGAGCTGGGGGTGGAGGAGGAAACTGAATGTCAGAAGGAATTTGCCTGGCCTTTGTTCTTGGCTCCTGGGAGGGAGCCTCTAAATCCAGTTTCCCACGTGATAAGAGTGGCTTTGTTATTTGGGATGGGCCCTGATAGTAAGTGCCAACAAGTGACCCGTGGCCTCCCAGGGAGTTTCCAGGGGGCGGGGGGAAGGGCTGGCCTGGTCAAAAGGTTAACCTTGTGACTGGAGGGTTGGGGCTCTGAGATGGAGAAAAGAGCTAGATTGAATTCAGTCATCTGGCTACTGGTCTAATCAATCCTGCTGAAGCGCTGGGCCCTGATAAAAACACAACACGGTAGCTTAAGTGACCTTCCTGGCTAGTAATACACACCCATGTGCCAAGAGGGTGCCCTGTCCTGACTCCTCAGGGAGGGGACCTGGTAGCTTTAACTTTAGGACCTTCCAGCCCTCCCCCTTTCCTCCTTTTGGCTGTCCTCACTTGTATCCTTTTATTGCTATTAATAAAGTGGTAAGTATAGCACTTTCCTGAGTTCTGGGAGGCATTCTAGTGAATTATTGAGCCTGGAAAGGGAACAGGAACCCCAGAATTTGAGCTACCAGGGAATGGGGGTTCAGGACATGCTGAACCAAAATAGGTACCTTGGCACACTGAATAGCTTAAGCTGAAGAAGTCTGAGAAAATGGTAGAAACAGGAAGGTCACTTTGACCTCTTACCCCTCATTCTTCTTCCCTGAAACAGGCCATACCCCTCATTTGGGAGGTGCCCTCTCTGTACCCAGAGAAAGGAGAATCTCCTTTGTTCAAAGGCAGAAAGACACCAAGAAGAATTCTAACATGCTTTGCTAGGTTTCTCTCAGTTTACAATTACCTCACACTCCTTCACCTACCACATTCCATGATATTCATCTGCTCCTCATCACACCCAGCATAAAAATACACAAGTCTGGGGGCACCTGACTCCTGATTTCAGCTCAGGTCATGATCTCACGGTTTGTGGGTTCGAGTCCAGTGTCTGGCTCTGTGCTGGCAGTGCGCAGCGTGCTTGGGATTCTTTTTCCCCCTCTCTGCCCCTCCCCTGACCGCTCACTCTTTCAAAATAAATAAACATTTAAAAGCACACACAAGTCTGCTTTTTAGATCATCATTTCCTTATGAAGACCCCCAGGCTGTGTAAAACTCATAACACATAGATTTGTATGTTTTTCTCCAGTTATATCTGGAGAAAATTTAATTTTTTAGATCCAGCAGGGACCTCAGAGGGCTTGAAAGAGGACTTCAGCTGCCTCCATTTTGATCTCAGTCTGTACTTCCTAACTGCTTCAGTCCTTTCCTCAGGCAGTAACAACAGTCCTTACGCCAGGAAGACCCCACGTGACTGACTCCAAGACAATGACGGACCTGACCTTTGCGGCTGGTCTTTGTCCCACATTTTCCTTCTATAAACCTGGAAGTATTTCTGGCGCTTTGGAGATGGTCTTTGAGACGTTGGTCTGCTGTCTTCCTGGTGTTGGCCTCGCTGAAATCAATTCCTTTCCTGTTTCACCTCCACGCTCTGACTTTGGGCCTGACCTGGTCTGTTTGGGACCCTTCGAGGTGGGTGCTCTTGTTGCCCTTGAGCCCGGTACAGGTTGATGAAGACTTATGCCCCCTTACATTGGTCAGAAGGGCGGGGGGCTGTCTGGGATCCCCTGAGCTTGCAGCTGGTATCTGGAGACGAGTCTGGGGGGCACTGTGCCCTCAACCTGGAAGGCTGGCCTCGCCCTGAGTAGGCTGTATTGGAGTTACTCTGCACGAAGCCAGACTTTTCCACGCCCCTGAGGAAAAGGAGTCTGCATCCTAAGACCTGCTTTGCAGCAGCAGGTAAAGGTTGTGTTTCTGCATATCCTACCAGGCACTCGGGCTAAAAGGAGCCCGGAGAGGCCAGGGCAACAGACTGAGTAAACCTAAGACTGTGCTTTGTGGTGTCCCGGTCCTAGTTAGAACCACCCTGCCCTCTCTGACCTTAGGGAAATTTGGGGTCCTGGGGATGGTCTCAACACTCTCCTCTGCATGTAGTTTCTGGTGGGAGCTATCCTATCACAGTAGGAGGGAGTGGAGCCGGAGCTCAGGAAGAGGTGGTGGGATTCAAGAGGAAAGCATATCTTCAGAGAAGGAGTTCTAGAACGAAACAGAACACCAGGTTGGTGACCACTTGGGTTTGGGGACACATGTTTACAAATCTTATTTAGTGAGCATATACTTGGAGATTTCACAATAAGTACAACTCATCTGCAAAGAACATGGGTTTGCAGTGTACAGGCCACTCATGCATGGATTTTCTTCGGTAAGTACGGTACAGTTCTGTCAATGTATTTTTTCCTTATGAGGCTGTTAATAACATTTTGTTTTTCTCTAGCCTACTTTACTGTTAAGAATACAATATACAATACATATAACATACAAAATATATGTTAATCCACTGTTATTTGTAAGGCTTCTGGTCCACCGTAGGCTATTAGTTAAGTTTTTGGAGAATCAAAAGTTATATGTGATGGAATACTACATGGCAATGAGAAACAATGAAATCTGGCCACGTGTAGCAACATGGATGGATCTTGAGGGTGTTATGCTGAGCGAAATAAGTCAGGCAGAGAAGGACAAATATCATATGTTTGCACGTATAGGAGGATTAGGAGGAACTTAACTGAGGACCAGGGGGGAGAAGAAGGGGGGAAATGGTGGGGGAAAGGGAGAGAGGCAAACCATGAGAGACTCTTGAATGCTGAGAAACAAACTGAGGACTGAAGGATGTGGGGGGGAGGGGGGAGATGGGCATGGAGGAGGGCACTTATAGGGATGAGCACTGGGTGTTATATGGAAACCAACTTGACAATAAACTATTTGTAAGAAAAAAAAAGAAATAAATAAAAACATTAAAAAATTTAAAAAAAAGTTATATGTGAATTTTTTACTGTGCAGCGGGGGGAAGGGAGGGGTCAGTGCCCCCACACCCCTCAGTGCTGTTCAAGGGTCGACTATATCCAGGTTTCCTAGGAAAAAATTAGAAAATCTGTTTCCACATTGCAATACCCAGCTGGAGCTAACAGGTGCCCTCTCTGGACGGTGTGAGTGCTCCCCACTGGGGCCTCACACCTCGCCTGTTTACATCTGCTTTTCTTGCTTATTAAACACCACTTGGCAGGCTCCAGTCACTCCTGCAGTGAGGCTCCCGGGCTCCAGCAGCACAGAAGCCTGCATTCTAGGATATGGGCCTATGAAATCCGAGACTAGGCAAGTGGGGCAGAAAGGTTTTGCTAATAGATCCTGAATGTCCATGAGGGCAGTAACTGCTTCTGAACCTATCAGTCAGATAGCCATTATATGTTCTTTCCAACCACAGGAGCCTTCCGATAGATCAAGAGCTTTACTGTTGGATACGAGCAGATTCTCTGCTGTAGTTCTCCTTTTCCAATTATTGACCCAATCTGCCTGGTCCTGGGTTCTCTTTTGTCTTGGCAGGGAGACTTCCTGCAGGCTCTTCCAGAGTATGGCCAGAGTATCGGTAAATATTTAGCTTCCAGTAAAAGCCCCGATGCTTTACTGGAAGCTGGGCTTCTTCCACTTCTCGAACCTGGCCCATCCAGATCTGTCCCCAGTGAGAAGTTAGCAGAGCCCATTAAACACAGTGAAGAATTTAGGGGCTAACCTGCCCAACTGTCTTCACTGTGCTCTCGGACGTCCAGCTTCGTCGTCCCCACTTTGATCCTGACTTGGCATCTGTAAGCCCAGCCGTTTCAGGGAGCACACAAAGTAGCGAGGAGGCTTGCAGACCAGGCTTAGTTCCTCCTTCCTGGACGCCAGGGCCGGCAGGATCAGCTGGTTGGCGTGCAGGTGAAGGGGGATGTGGCGCGCCTTTGCCTGCTTCAGCCCCAGCTTCCTCAGGGTACCAACACACAGCTTCTGTACGGAGACAAAGCAGCTTCTTGAGAGCCAGGCCAACGGCTCATCCTTGAGTGGCACACAGGGCCAGAGGCCTTCCACCTAAAGGAACCAACACTAACTCCCCTGGAAGACGCAGTGGTGGACAGCCCGTCAGGGACTTTCCAGGAAGGTTCAGAGCCCAGGTAAGAGAAAAACCACCACACCGAGGAAGCTCGTTTCAGCCAATGCTCTGGCCTGCCTACAGAATGGGCTGTAACATCAAGACATAGTCTGCTCCCCCCGCCCCCAGCCTCCTAACAAAATCTGAGACTAAGGAATAAAGCAGAAAGGTTTGCTAACAGCTCATGCAGCTCCATGAGAACAGTGGCTGTTTATAAGCTAGGGAACTGACACAGCCATGTGGCTACTCACTTCAGAGTTTAACAAGGGGAAAGTGTTAAGTTCTCCCCTTTATCTGTTGCCCATTGGGTCAAACCAATATCACCTGGGGGGCCAGCTTATTCCAGTCTGAGTACTTGTGATCCCCAAGGATTGGGCAATCCAATCCAAAAGACAGGTGAACTCGAAGCTGATGTTTTATGCCTTAAAAAAAAAAAACAAAAAACAAGAGAGAAAACTTGAGTAGCTACAGAAACCATACCACTGGAGACATCTGCTTCTAACCAAGTTAAATCAAAGCACAGTAAAACTGGCAAAGCCCCCCCTGCAATAAAGTACAAAGAATAACAACAAACTATAAGCTACTAGGAAGTAAACACTATACATACTGTGGAGCCTCTAAATCCTCCTCCCCACCGGCTCCAGCCACGGTTCCACTTCCACCACAGATAATCACTACCATCAACTTGGTATCCATCCCTGCTGGGCTTTTTTTTTTTTTTTTTAATGACTTTGTTATATAATGCTAAATAATATTAGTTTCTGCATTTTCTCACTGTAGCAAAATATATAGAATGTAGAATTTATCATCTTAACCATTTTCAAGTGCACAGTACTTTCACAGTGTTGTGCAGCCGTCACTGCCATCCATCTGCAGAGCTTTTTCTTCCTCCCAGACTGAAACGCTGAACCAATTTAACCACAGCTCCCCATTCCTTCCCCTTTTCCTCCAGCCCCTGGTCATCACCATCCTACTTTGTCTTTGAACTTGAGTATTCTAGGCATCTCATCGATAGAACCATAATATTTGTCCTGTGTTTGGCTTCTTTCACTTAGCATAAAGTTCATCCATGCTGTAGCACATGTTAGAATTTCCTTCCTTGTCAAGGCTGAATAATATTCCATCTTATGTATAGGCCACATCTTGTCCATGGACCATTCGTCTTGTCCATGGACGTCTGGATTGACTTCACCTTTTGGCTGTCGTGATTAATGCTGCTATTAACACTAGTGTACATTTATCTTCTCAAATCCCTGCTTTCAAGCTTTTTGGGTATATACCCCTGAGAATTGCTGGATTATATAGTATTTCTATGCTTATTTTTTTGAGGAACTGCTTTGCAAATTTTTAAGTAAATGTAAGCAAACTGTCTCTCTCTGCTACCTAGTGTTTTTGTTTTCTTTTTTAAAAACAATGATCCCTATTGGAGCTCCCAGCCTCAGATTAGCACCGGAAGCACACTCCCAAACATGCCAGCTGCAATCCCAGCCTTCCCGCAATACCAGCTACTCAGAAGAAGGGCAGAGCCCTAGACAGAGCTGAGCGGCCCTGGGGTTTCCCTGTCCCACAAATCCTACTGCACATGGGTGACCCCTCACCGGTAATTGGCTGGAGCTCCAAGAGAGCAGAGGAGAGAGTGCTGCTTAGCACCTGGTACTGAGTCACAGCTACGTGCGCGCCCTGGCTGGTTCGGGCTCTCACCATCTTCCCGTCATCCATGCGGTAGCCCGGGGACAGCGTCATCTGAAGCCAAAGAAATCAAATACGTCGCAAAGGAAGAGCAGAAAACCCATCCCTCTGGGCGATGGCTCACCTACCTTGTAGTGCTGCTGCTGACCTTGCACCTCCTTCTCAATGATGGGGATATCCACGACTCCCGCTGAGGGCACCGGGACACGCACAGTGATGGCCCTGGGCGTGACACACAGAGCCTCGCTTAAGCCACAAGGTGAGGGGGAGACTCCTTGGATTTGGCTACTTAGAGGCATTAGCACTGGACCTTCTGCACTACTATGGTCAGTTCTTAAGATGGGAGCATCCCAAATGATCTCTTGTCACAGCACTGAGCCTGAGAGCTTAATACAAACACATCTGTTTCACTACTAAAGTAATATATGCTAATTATAGAACGTGTGGGAGAAAACAACAGAAAAATTATATTAATAGCATGGTCTTTCATTCTAGCCTTTAAAAATTAATATGTATAGTTTAAAACAAAATTGGGTTAATATGGTTTTGTATCCTGGTTTTTTTTTTTCTTTTTATTATTTTCTTTGAGTTTATTTATTTTAGGGGGGGGGAGTAGGGGAGGGGCAGAGAGAGAGAATCCAAGCAGATTCTGCACTGTCAGCACACTGCAAACTCACAAATTGCAAGATCACGACCTGAGCTAAAATCAAGACTCAGATACTTAACTTACTGAGCCACCCAGGCTCCCCATGTATCCTGGCTGTTTGGTTTTTGTTGTTGTTGTTTACTGTTTAAAGTTTATTTATTTATTTTTAAAGAGAGAGACAGAGAGCCGGGGAGGGCAGAGAGAAAGAGGGAGAGAGAATCCCAAGCAGGTTCCACACTGTCAGTGCAAAGCCCAATGCGGGGCTCCAACTCATGAACCACGAGACCATGACCTGAGCCGAAATCAAGAGTCAGACACCCAGAACCCCATGTATCTTGTTTTTTAAAAGATGGTAGGTTCTGCCTGCACAAGAAGTGGATGAACAAGTAAATGAATTCACAGAACCGCTCCTGCCCAATGTGCCAGGTGCACAACACAGGGGGATCTGTGCTCTGTGCTCCAAGTCACCACAACTACCACCACCATGTAATAACCATTCCAGATCACGTTTGTCAGAGGTCTCCTTTCATCACGGGGAGAAGACGCTCTAATCTGTCCTTTCACTTATGCATCTTCTAGGTGAATCACAAAGGAATCCTCCTGGGTACCTGGTGGCCTCTCACTGACCGCCAAAAGCCCAGTCATACATTTCACACCCTGGACACCTCACTTTGGGTTGGTAGCAGTTTGGGCCATTACCTGACATATTTTGTCATGCTTGGACTGAGTTTTAACTGCCAGCTCACTCTTCCTAAGGACCTAACACTACTAAGGTTCACTTACTACACACTCAGCGAATGTAAACGGGCACTGATTTAGGTAGGTACTGGTTCTGTATAGAAGGGCAAGACAAAAATCCCTGCTTTCAAGGAATTCGAAATCTAGTAAGAAGATTCAAACAAATAACTGTAACGAGTTGCTATCATAGTAAGTCAGCAAATGCTAATTGGTTGCCTCCTATGTTCTACTTCTAACTTCTAGTGCTTGCACTTGGTATTTAAGGCCAGCATTAACTGGGTTCCAGTTAACTTTCCAGCATTAGCTGTCACCATTCCCCACTCCAAACTAGACTGTGTGTTTTCCTCTTTTGTGCCTACCATTCGTACAATCTGTAACACATTTCTTCATCTCATCTATCAAATCCTATTCATTCATCAAGACACAGTTAACTGATTTCAATTCTTCCAGGAAGCCTGATCCTGAAAATGGTCAGTGATTCTTAACTTTCATAAACAATTTTCACAAATAACATACTACTTTTGGATAGGCTTAACATGTGGATTACTTATATGCATACGAATCGTCTCAATTTTCTGCCTTTCAGCTTTTACTGTGAGCTCCTTGCTGTGTTAAAATGCTTTACGTGACTTGTCTCACTTTTTTTTTTTTTTAATGTTTTATTTATTTCTAGGAGACAGAGAGAGACAGTGTGAGCAGGGGAGGGTCAGAGAGAGAGGGAGTCACAGACTGAAACAAGCTCCAGGCTCTGAGCTGGCAGTCAGCACAGAGCCCGATGCGGGGCTCGAACCCACGAACCGCGAGATCATGACCTAAGCGAAAGTCTGATGCTTAACCGACTAAGCCACCCAGGCGCCCCAAGTGACTTGTCTCACTTAATTCTCTTCTCAACTCCATTATTCTCACTTTTCGTATAAAGACAAAACTTAGAGAAGTTTCATAACTTGCCTAAGGACTCCTGCTGGTAAATGGCACAGCTCACAGCTCAACACACATCTTGCCGAGCTCTTAGCTGCTATGCTAAACTCCCTCCATAATCTAGAATTTCTTTAGTACAGGGGTTCTTACATTTCATTCCTCATCATTTGTGGAGCTTTTAAAATATATAGATGCCCACACCCATTGGATTTATGAATCAGGACCTCTGTGGGTGGGTTTCAGAATAGGGATTTTTTTAAGGCTCCTGACATCACAAAGGGGCCGTGAAATCTGTAACACCAAAAGGACGAAGATCCAAAAGATAAAAAGAACACCCATTAATCAAAGAGAAAATAATAAACAATCCAACAGAATCTGGGCGAAAGAAGTAAACAGTTTGTTCACAGAAAAGGAAACTCAAAAACCACGAGAAGCCTGTAAACATGCAGACATTGCTAGTACACGGGGAACAGAAAACTTCCCTTCGAAAAATGCGTTTGTCAGCCTAAGGAGAGGTGGGTACTTACCACTCTCCTGGAAGAAAACCTGGCCCACCTACTAGTAGTAACTTTCAAATATTAAATGTTTCAACCTAGCCGTGCCATCTTTAGGAATCTGTCTTAAAGATATACTCACACATTCTTTGCAATAGGCTCAGAAAAATGGAAAGTTAACCAAACATCCATTAATGAGGAAATTATGATACAGCCATACAACAGAATACTGTAGAGCTCAAGATATACACACAGGGGCATATGGGTGGCTCGTTGATAAAGCTTCAGACTCGTGATCTTGGCCCAGGTGATGATCTTATGGATCGTGGGTTCAAGCCCCACATCAGGCACCCAGTTGATAGCTTAGAGCCTGCTTCGGATCCTCTCTCCCTGCCCCTCCCCTGCTTGTGTGCTCTCTCTCTTTCTCTCTCTCAAAATAAATTTAAAATAACTCTAAAAACATTAAAATCAATTAATTAAAAGCACACACGAAATGCTCTCCAAGATATATTTCCCAAGGGAAAAAAAGCAGGATCCAAAGCAGTGCAAAATATATTGCCACATACTAATTCACTTACACATACACAGAGTCATACACAAAATAGTAGAATAGTGATTGCCTCTGGAGGAAAATTGAGCAGATGGGGGACAGGAGTAGGTTACACTTTTGTGCATGTATCTTTCCTCTATTAAAAAAATGTAGGGGTGTCTTCTGGGTGGCTCAGTCAGCTAAGTGTCTGACTGCAGCTCAGGCCATGTTGGGCTCTGTGCTAACAGCTCAGAGCCTGGAGCCTGCTTCAGATTCTGTGTCTCCCTCTCTCTCTACCCATCCCCCACTTGTGCCACTTGCTCTCTCTCTCTGTCTCATAAATAACAAATGAATAAAATTTTAAAAAATGGAGGTAAACCTAAATGTACTAACATGAAAAGATCTCTAAGACAGTTAAGTGAGAAAAGTACAGTGTAGAGGCGCGCCTGAGTGGCTCGGTTGGTTAAGCATCCGACTTCGGCTCAGGTCATGATTTCATGATTTGTGAGAGCGCTGCCCATGCTCTGTTCTTTGTCTTTCTCAAAAATAAGTAAACATTAAAAAAAATAATAAAAGTACAGTGTACACCATACAATGTAATACACACACATATACACACTGTGTATACTAGACATGTATGCAAACACATTGAGTAAGGACTAGGGAATAAAAACCAAACTATAAGGGAAGGGACTAGAATGACAGTGGGTGGATTTACCAGGAGTTTTTTGTTTGTTTGTTTTTTTTGCTTTATCTTTGACTATTTTTCCATAGGCATGAAATCATATGTTACTTATATGGTTAACTTTTAGTAATTTTTATGTACAAGCATAATTAGGAACCACTACTCTATCCGACTCTAATATTCTAAGCACTTAGTCTGTTTCCTATACCTCTCATATGCCCACAGGTCCTAGCCTGGTGCCTTCCCCTCACAGGGTGTCCTTCTGTACAAATGGACAAAGAGATAAAAGGATGCCTTCATTGATACCAACTCTACCACCAGCGATGGGCTTCTTACCAATACTTCTTTGCCACCTGACGGGTTCTAAACAACTCGTGAACTTGATGTGCCACTTCCTTCTCCCATGCCAACACCATTACGCCCGTGGTCTCCTTGTCCAGCCGGTGGCACAGATGCAAGGGCTCTGCCTTGTGGCCACGGAGCATCTTTGCCAGGATAGGCAATACATCGCTGATGCAGAGCTGGACCCCAGGGCCACCTAAGAAGGATCAGAGGTTTTAGTGGCCAGCAAAAGATCCCACCAAAGAACTCTGCTTGGGAAAAGAGTCAGTGCTTTCTAGAGCCTTATTCCTGAAATGTGGTCCAGGAGCTGGCAACATGAGTATGCCCAGGGAGCTTGCTGGAAAGGAATCTCAGGCCCCAACTCAGACTATTAAATCTAAATCTGCATTTTAACAAGATGCCAAGTGACTCACATGCCTGTTAAACTTTGAGAAGCACTGTTCCAGAACATGTGGCTTTCTCCTCAGACATGTATATACTTATTAATTCACTTGAATACTTGCAATAAAATCAGCCATCAAAATGAGGAAGTCTGATTTCACTGTTGCAAACAAAGGCTTGAAAATTTGCCAAGTAAACTCAAGTGATCCATACAAGACCGTGAAGCTCTTCTGAGGCAATACAGGCATCAAATCTTCCCTTCAAGAAGATGGGACTTTCCGTGAGACACTTCTCAGTATTATTCTATGCCTAAGTAGCCATTGACCGTTAACAGATTATTTAATCTTTCCAGGTTGCAATTTTCTCATCTATAAAATGTAAATATCTGTATAACAATTATCTAATTGGGAATGAGAAGGATCAAGGCAGAAAAAGAAAACACACAAAACACATGGCGTTGTCTGACTTAATTTGCTCTGTATGCTTTTATTTATACCCCTCCAAAAAGCATTCTTCTAGTTCAACTATGCTTTTTTTCCCCCAGCAAATCCTCAGTTTCGATGGAAAACCACATGAAGACAAGAACCACACAGCGTTAATGTCTATAAAAATCCCCGTGGAAGTCTGCACACAGCTCATTCCATAGATCACTGCTGACTGCCAAATGTTTGCAATGCAGGGACTGAACTATATATCCCAGTATCCTCAGTAGGGTCTTATGTAGGAGTATATAAGGTCCTTATAGGTCCTTAAGGTCTTACAGAGTACTCCCCCAAAACTTAATTATTTTGAATGCAAGGCTTCAAGGCGCCCCACAAGTAATGTGTCAGAGTTGTCCGTGGGAGTAGCGAAAACAGAACCAGCACGCCTCTCCTTCCCACGTGGTCCTTACCATGCACGGGAAGACCGTACGGTTTATTGATGACCACGAGATCTTTGTCCTGGTGCACAATCCCCCGGCTCAGTGCCTTAGCAAGCACGTTGGGGTGGACTCGCTGCAGCTGCTGTGTGAACCGCACTAGTTCCTGCACTCTCCGCTGAACAGGGTTTGTGGGCACCTACGGGGAGAGAAGGAGCCACAGCAAATGCCTGGTGAAGACCGTCAATAAGTCTAGGTGAGAATCTAGGTTGGGAATGACTATCTCTGCACTGGACTCGCGCCTTCCGCGAATAATTTGAGAGCACGTGCATGTCTGTCTTGTCCCATCGCAGTTCTCAGGAGCGAGGCTGGCAGGAGCCAAAGACACAGCCCGCAGGAGGACACGGACCTATTCCCTTTCCCTTTCTCCCTATTCTCCCACACGTCCTCCACATTTACTTAACAGCTGTCAGAGGACCCTCCTACCTCACTCCCAGCCAAGGAATCCAATTAATGCATTGCCTCTTGGGAGTTGTGGTCCTTTCGGACTCACCGGTTGCTTCTTCGTCTTTTGTTCCTGCTTCTGAGCTCGGAGTTTCTCCGCTAACCGCTGAGCATTCAGGGTCCCAGACGCAGCAGCGGCGGAACAAAACGGCTGGGAGATGAGGGTGAAGGAACTCCCTAACCACTGCCCGGAACCCCGCACCCAGAGGCCCAGAGCATTACAGCTGGGCGCGGCCATCTTGTCAAAAAGGGAGGGGCGAGTAAACACCACGTGCGAAAGAGGAGCTAGAGGGAGGAGGGGATGGGCGGGCTCTCGGAGTCACGTGAGATGGGGGCGGGGCCTGGGCCGAGTCACGTGGGGCGGTGCGCGCAGAGTGCGGCTGCGCCGGCCGGTAGCTGCAGCTGGAGCGGTGGCGTTTGGAGGAGACTCGGTGAGTGTGTTGGGAAGCCAGTCTGGGGCTGGGAAATGCCGGTTCATCAACACTTTAACGTTTTCGCGTCTCTGAGGTTTCTGTTCTCGGAGAGCACTGCACTGAGAACCGTTTCCCGCTTTGGGAGAAGCTCCCACTCACAAACACCTCCCCGCCCCCGCGCCCCGTGGAAGCAATGCCCCATAAACGCCCGCCCCAGAGCCTTCTTGGGCGCCTACCTCGTCCCTCTTGGCAACCACATCCCTGGTGTCCGGCCAGTCCCCTGAGGGACGCGTCGTGCCACCTCTCCTTTCCTTGCCTCTCGACCTTCGGAGATGCCCGGATCTCTGAAGCCTCTCCACCCCTCACCTCCTCTTTGTTTCAGGGTGTAACCTGTCCTTCTCTCCCAGAGATGATGGGGAGCCCCTCTGTTATCCAGAGGTCCCAGCCCGTATTTCCTACCTAGGGAACACCTTGAGTTTCTTCTGTTCCTCCTCAAGAATTCATTTTTGGGGGGAGTCTCCTCTCCCCAACGCTCTCCCTGCTCCGTCCAAAGAAAAAATACGGTACAGAGCATGTACCTTCCCTTCTCTGCTTCCTTCGTTTTTCCCCTCCCTACTTTGCACCCGCCCCAGACCCTCTCTCCCTGTCTTACAGGGTGCATTGGGACTCCCGTGCCCAAACTGCAAGCGACTCCCTGTGATTTCACCCAGGGGTGGCTGAAAAGATGAACATCTGGTTGGGGGTGATAATGCGAAAATTACCTTGGGACATAACCTGCCATTTGTTAAGAAACCTAATGGCGAGTTCCGAAGGGCTGTTCAGAAAACTAATGGATGTGTACTAGAGGAAACAATTTTTTTTTAAGACTGCTTAGCACAAAGGTTCCCTGAGGAGTTAGTGTAGGTAGTGGAATTAGGTTTGCGATCCCCCCCCACCTCTCTCGGAAAGGGACCGGCATAAGGGAGCCATATTTACTGGGCATGCAATAAAGTTGAGCAAGTAAGTGGAGCCAGCCTATAGGAAACTCTTAAGTTGAAGAAGAGTTGAAACTAGATGTAATAAGTATTGAGGAGTGTCGAAGCTTCTGAGCAGGAGAGAGATTCCTTGAAGTTGGAATTCTAGAAATGAACCTGGCAGTTGAATGCAGGAGGGATTGAAGAGAGGAGGGCTTTGCTAGCAGGGAAATCAGCTGGGATATTTCAATCTAGACGATCAGGAAGGAGGTTATGCTTCATCCGGTGGTCTGTTTCCCTGACTGTACTGTTCTTTGAGTTGGAATTGCTTTTGAGTACAGGTCAGGATGTAGCATTGCAGCTGCTGTTGAAGCCTGAGTCCCTTGAGGATTGCTCATGTTTTCTTTGTGAAACCCACATCTGGCACACAGTAAATTAACAAATATTCCTTAGATGGCCTGCAGTACCTCACAGACGTGTTCGATGTGTCTGAACAAACTTTCAAGTTGTCTTATTTCTGTCGGTTTTTGACCTGAAGAATGGAAGTGTGGGAGCAAATGTGTTTACAAAGAGTGGGAAGGAAGTCTCGTGTATGTTTACGTAATAAGACAGGTGATCGTGATATAAATTTGAAGAATCCTGAGGGAGTTTGGGAAACAACTTTTCTCCTTTTTTTCTTCTTCCAATTTACAGATAAGACGTAGATCTGTAAAAGGTGAGAATTACAATCTTTTACTGATATGCTCCAGATGCAGGTTCTAATTTTATTAATTTCACTTAGGTACATGAAGCCTCCTTTTCTGATGTCAGGATTTAAATTCATATCATTGTGTTAATTATGAACTTGTCTTAGGTATAGTACTTTTTATGGTTTTGTGTAAGGGCTGGTTCTGCCTTAACCTGTGCTTGGCATTCAAGAAATGACACCTGTTCTTGCAGAATTGGCATTCTGTGGCACGAGACAAATGAAGAACCAACTTGGATGTCCATGCTGGTGACACAGAGCTTGTGTTCTTGGGTTTCAGGGTAACCCAAGGTACAAACTGTAGTCCCGAAGAATAAAAAAACTGGTCACTTTTTTTTCCAAAGAAGGAACTTTGAGGTTTTTCTTTTTGTAACTGTAAGAGATATTTGAAGAATTCAAAGGTTTGGCTTGTTTGCTTGTTTTTCACAGTACAGCTTTAGCCAGTATGGGTACAGAAGTTAGATCGTAATGCTTCTCCTGTGAGTCTGTGCATTTAGTCATTTAAAGTAGAGTTGCTCTTTGCATATACAAGAATTTGTGCAAATATATTTTCTGTCTTTTGCTTTGTAATGCTGTATTGTATCCTAATACTATACTGCCTCCTTTCTGTACAGTCTGTACTGTATTCTCAGTATAAGGAAGAAAATTCTATTAGAGGGATTTGGTGGTGTCTTTATTCTCAGAGAAGATGAGAATATTTACACGCGTGACTTATTTACACAGATTTTGATACGTCATAATGTGTTCCCCCTAAATAACCACTTAAAGAAGCACTTGAGGGGCACCTGGCTTCCGCTCAGGTCATGATCTCGCTGTTTGTAAGTTCAAGCCCCTTATGGAGCTCTGTGCTGACAGCTCAGAGCCTGGAGCCTGCTTGGGATTCTGTGTCTCCCTCTCTCTCTGCCCCTCCCCCGCTTGTGCACTGTAGCTCGCTTTCTCAAAAATAAACATTTAAAAATTAAAAAAAAAAACCAACAACAACAAAGAATCACTTGATAATTCACTTTTGAGGCTATTTCCTGGTGTGCAAGAACATGGTCACCTTTTTATTTTACAAATATAAACAAAGAATGACTAAGAAAGGAACTTGTGTTTAAATATCACAAAGTGAAGATTAATTAGTGGCATGATAGTAGATTCTGGCTCCTTAAACAGTGATTTGCTAGTTGCAGATTAACCAGCAATTCAGTTCCCTCAAGAGCAGGAAGCATTTGGATATCGTTTTATGGTTTTAGATTCAAGGAAGCAATTAGCAGGAGCTCCCTGGAGGTGTCCAGGAGAGTGTGGTTGTTGGCAGCTGGGAGATCTGGGGACTAGTCCCAGCTCAGCTGCTGTGAACCAAGTAATTTGGGCTCTAAGCTTCGATTTGTTGAAGATTTTCCATTGACACTTAGGTACCTTTTTTTTTTTAATATTTTTTATTTATTTCTAGGAGAGAGAGAGAGATAGCGTGAGCAGGGGAGGGTCAGAGAGAGAGGGAGACACAGACTCTGAAATAGGCTCCAGGCTCTGAGCTGGCAGTCAGCACAGAGCCCGACGCAGGGCTCGAACCCACGAACTGCGAGATCATGACCTAAGCTAAAGTCGGATGCTTAACCGACTAAGCCACGCAAGCGCCCCGACACTTAGGTACTTTCTTAACAAATGGGATTTATTTCAGACTTATCTTGCATACATTTAGCGTAAGCACAGAGAATCAAGATTCTGCTCTTGTCCCCAGAATTTAACTTGATGCCACTGAGCTAATGTTTATATTTGGAGGTCATCTCTTTAAGTGATGCTGGAATATACCTTAAGATTTCCTACCTTAAGGACATGAGAGACATTGCAGATAGAGGAAAAAAAATGCTAGAAAACATTGTGTTATAACCTATACTCTGGATGTTTTCTTTTCCATGTCAGCATTTTAAAGAGATTTTGTTATCTTCCTACCCGTAATTATACTTTTATTTTGCTCTTGAATGATGCTCGAGACAGATTTGGTTTAAACTAGTCTTCCCAAACTTTTCCATATCATGGTATGTGCGGAAATAATTGTTTCTTGGAGAAAAACTGGAGGTGGTCCACAAAAGACAGCTGGCCTGGGAGCTGAGGCTGACCCCACCTGACCCCACCATAGGCTGAGGCGATGCCTATCCTGTGGCCTCTTTGACCGTTAGGAAGGTCAGCGTTACAAAATCAAGGTCTTTGACCCAAACTCTATTGAGAGGGAATTGTATTATTAGTTATATTTGTTAAGTCTGCTTCTAATTTATTTGTCTCTTATATGCTCTTTATGCTCTTGGCTAGTCTATATCTAAGGATCATACTTATCCTTACAACGTGGCCCGTCTAAAAGTTTGTGAAAAGGAGTTAACTGATGAAGAGACGACAATGTTTTTGCCTCATTGATTATGGGCAGTCTTGCTCTGCCTATTTAGAAGATAGAGAATTTCTTTAAATCATGTATTTTATGTTTTCCATTATAAAAGTGATACAGAAAATGTGTAAAATCAAAAAATGGGAAAAATCATTCATAGCTCTGTTCTCAAATATAGTTAAAACTTTTTTTCTCAGTTCTTTTTAATCATGCATTTTTTTCTCAACTGTAAATTTCAAACATTTATAGAAGTAGAGAACATAATGAACCCCATGTTTCCATCTGCCAGTTTCTACAACCAACCATCACAGGGCCACACTTGTTCGCCACCCCACCCTGACCTCCCAGATGGTTTTAAACCATTGGTAAACAGTTTGGTACGTGTCTATAAAAGGTAAGCACTGGTTTTTAACAAAACCACAACACCATTATCACCCCTTCAGTATATTTCTTAGTATGACCAGGCAAGCAGTTGACACAGTTTCAGTTGGGTTTCTCTTTTTAATAGTTAATGTGTTTGAATTGGGATCAAGAGAAGTTTCGCACATCATATGTATTCTTTTATTTAGAAGAAGAAAACTGGGCATTCAGAAAAGACATGTGATCTGTACCTTAGAGATGCACCCTTAGAGTACACTGGCTTAGAGCTTGTACTTGGGAGTCACAAAGATGGTCTCAGAACCTTGGCTCTGCTACTTGCTCGCTGTGTAACCTTGTGCAAATTACTTAATAACTTCTCTTACTTTAGATTCTTCATCTTGTGAAATGTGGGTGATGTCTGCCTTAGGACTGCTGTAAGGAGTAGTGAGCGCTTGTGTAGAGCTTAGCGCATAGTTAAGGCTCAAAAAATCTTTAGGTATGTCCTGCGTATAGTATGGTATAGCACCGGGTTTATAGATTTGTTTAAAAAGCCTTAAACAGAGTCAGAATCAAGGGATATGGAATTTAGTCTCATTCTGCCACTTGGGTGATACACTTCAGCATTTTGGACCTTAGATTGCACACCCAAAAAGCAGGTGGGGAGAACAAAGATGATTTCTAAAATCCCAGTGTTTGCCACAAGTAAGGCAGCTTGATATTTTTAGGAAGACACTGAGGTTTGCATCGGGCTTTGCCACTTATAAGCGTTTATTCTGTGTCGGTTTTTTCATATGTGTAACAGAATTAATAATATCTAACCTAGTAAGATTGTTGCAGTGAGCAACAAGATCAATATATATGGTGCCTAGCATGTAGAAAGTATTCAAATTATTAGTCAGCATTTCTTGATTATATGTTAAAATAAGGTCATTACATTGGAGCATTTTCAAGATTGTGAAGAACTATGTATTTTGTGGTGTTTATATAAATGCAGATCAGCAGAGTATCTTAAGGGAAAAGGAGTAAACACTGGAAGGGTGAACATGGAGACCGTGCTTCCAGAACATGAACAATGGAAAATTGAGGGACTGTTCCACTGTTGTGGTTGGATAAAAGCCAGAGGATATTAGGGTCCCTAGAGAAATTTAAGAAGGTATTTGCAACAGCTAGTTGCTTTAGTTGAAAAAACCTGTTTTCTGCATTATTTGAAAATTTGAACAATAAGTTAAAGATGCAGACTGTGTGTATCTGAGTTGTTAATGATTGGAACATGCTGTAAGTGCTTAATAACGCCATTAGTTTAATGAAAATAACCTCCGCTGGCTGTTAGTAGGAGAGCTGTACTGTAACTGAGCTAGAAAACCAAATCCAGCGATGCCTGGGTGACTTGGTTGAGTGTCCAACTTCAGCCAAGGTCATGATCCCACGTCAGGCTCTGTGCTGATAGCTCTGAGCCTGGAACCTGCTTCGGGTTCTGTGTCTCACTCTCTCTGCCACTCCTCAACTTACACTTTTTCTCTCTCTCTCCCAAAAATAAGCATTAAAAAAATTTAAAAAGAAAAAGAAAACCAAATCCACACTAGATTCTACTGACCCCATGTGTACTAGGCAGCATTTCCCCAACTTGCTGGATGGTAAGAATTGCCTGGTGTGCTTTTAAATCTACAGATCACTCCCCTAGAAATTTTGATTCAGTAAAACGCTGAGTTAAAGCTCAGGAATCTATTGCCCTCCCTCCTTCCTGCCCAGCAAGGCCCGGGGCTAAAAGGTCTTGTTTATGGATATCAGAAGGTAAGCTTGCTAAAAAAGTGTAGAGAGACAAATGGCAAATTTTATTTTATTTTATTTTATTTTATTTTATTTTATTTTATTTTATTTTATTTTATTATTTTTTTTTTTTGAAAAATGGCAAATTTTAAATGTTGCTATTTTACCCTTTAAATTTTATTTTTTCTCAAAGTAACTCGTGTATGGTTTAAGGAGTCGATCGTGCTAAAAGACTATATGGGGAAAAAAAATCATTCCCTCCATTCTCTCCACCTCATAATCTCATTCTTTAGAGGTAGTCCCTCAGTTATTTTTTTTCTTTCCTTGGTTATTCTTACTTCCTTTTTGTTCTTTTTTTAATGTTTGTTTATTTTGAGCAAGAGAGTGTGTGTGGCATGCATGGGTGGGGTAGGGAGAGGGAGAGAGAGGGAGAGAGAGAATCCCAAGTAGGCTCCGTGCTCAGCGTGGAGCCCCACGCAGGGCTCAGTCTCATAACCCTGAGATCACTACCTGGGCCAAAATCAAAAGTTGGACACTTAATCGACTGACCCACCCATGTCTAAATCATTTGATATGTTACTTCTTGCTTTTGTTGCCCTCCAGTGCCTGTTGAGCTAGATGATGTGTCTCATCTCCACTCTTGTGTTTGGGTTGATCTTTGCCTGTTTTTCCTCCTCATACCTACATACCGTTAATTTTTTCCAGATGCTCTGACGTAATTGTCATATTCTTAGCAGTAACATTTTCTATGAGCTCAGCTGTGTTACTTGATGTTTCCTGTGGAGAAGTACAATCCAGGTATCATTCGGGAACATGGGCCATCACCTATGTCCCATTTCTTGACTTACATCTTTATTTCCTAAGAAGTATTTGCCCACACACTTGTTTGATAGTTTGGAAATGTTATCAAATTCTAGGTTGGATGTAATTTTCCCTCAAAACTTTGAAGGCATGGCTGTACAATCTGGTATCTATAATTGCTCTAGAGACATAGTGATTCAAATCCTTTTTTTATGAAACCTCATTTTGTTGGCTTGGTTTTTTCTTTTCTCTTACTGGAAGCATTGAGAATATTCTATGCCTGATGTTCTGGAATCTCTTAATGACATACCATGGTACTGAGTCTTTCCTCATCTGTTGTTCTGGGTACTCAGTGGACCTTTTCATTCTGGAAATTCATGTCCATCAGTTCTAGGACATTTTCTTCTATTATTCCTCTGGTTTCTGTCCCTCTCCATCTCTTCTTTGATCCTTTTTCACAATATCCATTCTTGCTATGTGGATAGGATAACTTCAAAGAGGACCCATTAAAGTTTTTCAGTTTCTGCTCTCTGCATTGGAGTAGGTTTAAGATCTATTGCCAGAATGAATATCAACCCGCAAATAATGGCAAGCCCCTGCATGTGATAAGAACTTCGTGCTTCACCCCACAGTTTGATAGATTGCACAAAGCCGAAGCCGTGTGCACCTGCACTGGGCAGGGTCTAGCCTTCGGCTCACTCTTCCTTGATCCCATTCACCCTGATTTCCTCACTGCCCTCAGGCACTAGGCTTGTACTGCTTCTTTCTTCTACTCTAGAAACATCTACTACTGCTCTTTTGATGAATCCATAAGCTATTTGAGTACTGTTAAAAGTTAATTTTACTAAGATAAATGAAGAAAAGTTGAAAGACAAAAAGAAAAGGGGCTGGTGTGTAACATAGAAAATTTACTGTGTAAAAGCAAGTGCCAACTCTAACAGTAAAGTTTTTTTTGAATTGATGACTAGCATGCCTGCACTTCTTCCAAGAGTTCCTCTTGAAAACTGCCAAAATAGCAGCGGTTGTTATCTCCAGGTCGGATTACAGGGTGGCTTTCATGTGCTCTTTGTACTTTACTGTACTTAACATATTTCCTGCAGGGCTTATGGGGTCCTTTTCCTTCTCTAGTCAGGAGGAGAGGGGCTTGCTTGTCCCTTATAAAGTCTGCGTCCCTCAGGCTGGCTGTTGCTTCTCCCTCCAGTTCCTTCTCCGTCTTGGACTGACCTCCTTCGCATTTTTAACAAAGTGTGTTTTTAGGTCTTCCTAACCTTTTTTTCTCTCACCTATTTTTTTTGCCTCAGTTTTTTTCACTGCTACTTCTTAAGACTGACGCTACTGGCTCAGCAAATCAGTGCTTTTAAAGCTGTTTCTTCTGTCTTAGCCTGATCTCTCTGTTTGTGCTGGTGGCCTCTGTGGCAGATTGTATCTTTTTTTTTTAGCTCTCAGATTCTTGGTTCAGGTCTAAATAATGCTTTCATCTCAGGAGTTCATTCCCAGATCAAAGAGAATATTTTTTAGTTAATTTTTATTAGAAAAACAAATATCGTGAAAAGAATATCAAGCCAGATTAAGGTTACAAGCTAAAACCACTTTCCTGAGTAGCCTTTCATCCATCATTCTTTTGTTCTTAAGGATGATTGAAATTGCTTTATAAGTACATTTGTAAAGTGTATGATAGTTTTTTCCAAATCAAAAAGTAATTGTGTTGGTGCTTGCAACAGAAAGAGGGAGATAATCACCTATAACCCTGTGACCCAGAGATTCTGCAGGTCATAGACCTGACACCACATGATAGGGAACCGATTGTTGAACTGTTTTTTGACCTTTAAGTTTGAAGTATGTCTTAAAGTACCTTAAAGTATGTGAAGGACTGTGTAACCCAGGTATCTCCTGGGTCTGAATCACAGGAGATCTGAGCTGAAGATTGAGATATGGGAGTTGTTAGCATTTAGTTGGTATTTTAAATCATTGGAGTAGCTGCAAGGGGAGGCGAGGGAATACATGAAGTGATTAGATGGGGAACTGAAAGCAATTCGCTGAGGACTCTCAACGTTTAGGGATTAGACGGAGGAGGAAGAAGAGCTTCCTCTAGAGGAACAGGAGGAAAATCCTATGTCCAGAGGAGAATGGAGTTAAGTGTCAAATGTTTCCAAGACCTAAAGGAAGATAAATAAATACTCATTATTTCACTGAATTTTGTCGTGGAGGGATCTTTCTCACCCCTTTTCTTGATCACCACAACTGTTAATCTTTCCTTTACCACGTACAAACATATTCTACTTAGCACCAATGTGTTATAAATAATTTGTTTACAGTTCTGTTTCCCCCAAAAGGTGGAGACTTCTGAAGGGTATGGTCCTCCGGGGTATGGTCTTAGTCATCTTTGGTGGGATAGTATCACATTGGGTGTTCACAGCATGGACTCTGGAGTCAGCCTCCCAGTGTGTTAATAGCTGTGTGACCTAT